GGGGCGAAGCTAGTCTAAAAAAAGTAGTCTAAGTTACTCCTTATGTCATCAGCTATCTGCCAGTGAAAGTCCCGTCGAAATCGGTCCACAGATTACCCGGAACAAACAGACAGACAGACAGACAAAAATTGTAAAAAATGTTATTTTGGCATATGTACCGTGTAAACATACATATGCATTTAGTAAAAAGCGGTTATTTTAATATTACAAACAGACAATCCAATTTTATTTATTTGTATAGATTTGTATGTATTTAGAATCATATGAGCATAGACTTACTTGTTGCCTTTATTTTTTATTTTTTTTATTGCACAAACAACAATTCATTGTACATTTTCTGCCAGTCTACCTTTGGGTGGTGGGGAAATGTCTGAGCAGGTGCACTAGAAATTAAGTTTTATATGTAACGAGATAATATTAATTAAGGATACGGGCAGAACCAGTGTGACAGATATACATACTATTGAATGCTCGAGTCGCTATAAGTTGTCTACTTCTCATTCCAAACAAAATATGACCACGCTTTGCAATGCAATATCTATGAGTCGGTTCTAACGCGTGCATAGTCATGAAATATGTTTGATTCATAGGTGGACATATGGTTATTGACTTCAGTAACAATTTTGACTAACTCTGTAATAAACGCATCAAATTGTTGTATGTGGAGTCTATGCGATATCTAAATCCATATGCATTATATTACTTTGAAAGGATTCTAAAAAAATCAATATGTCCGTTAGGGTGTCCCGTCAATGTATGGGATTTTCTTTTTTTAAAGCGACGGCTACGCAAGAGGTATCAAAAGTTGCGTTTTTGTGAATAGATTACAAATAAAATAAAATTTAATTAAATATTTATCATCTTTAGGCCTCTACCGATCCTAGAAGTTTTTCAAATTTGCCATTTTTAGAGGTTTCGAACATAAACTATAAATTATACAAAAATAATGTTTTAAAGGTTTTAATCAAATTTATAGGTACAACAAAGACATAAGGTAATGTTCAGTAAAGTTTAAATACTTATAATTAGTGCTTATTTCAAATACGAAATTGGTTCTTGTGGCCAAAATTAGGCATTTCCGCGCGAGATTTTAATCTGTTTCTGATTAAACCATCCCGAGCTGTAGCGTCCGTGACATTTAGAGAAGCCTCCGTCACTAGCTTTACACATCTTTCCACTGATTGTGTATGACAGGGGAAATCAATAACATCGAAGCTTTGTTCTTTAGCCTTAATTCTCAGTTCGTCGTCGGACATCTGTCGCAAAATCGGTGGAGCGGATATCTCACACTCTTGCCAAAATATCAAATCGATGTAATATCGCGCATCGAAGTTAAGTTTTGGTACTTTAAATACCCTGCGAGTATTGCTTATTTCTGCTTCTCTTGGCTTTAATATTTTGCGAGCTGCAAGCTCTTGAATATGCTCTCTGTCGTCGAATAGCATGGTAACAAGTAAGTTTTCAGGGTGAGCAAAAAAGCGTTTCTCTCGATCACTGAATTCACAATAGATTGCTTATCAGGCAGAAATCGGGAGTATGTAACCATTTGAAAAATATGATTGGCTCCATCTTTGAATGATGAGTTTTTCTTAATGAGGAACCAAACTGGAGCATAAACTTTGACCGCATAATTGACAAGCAGCTTTAAATTATTTGATGGCGAAACAGTACTTACATAAAGTCTGAGTATGCGATTGGCAGTAGTTAGCCATCTTGAATGCGCCATTTTTCCAGGTTGGCGGCTCGCTAACTCAGGGGAACAAGAACCAGTCGTCACAGCATGACACATTTCATACAGATACTTTTGATCCGTACTTAGTTCCTTCACAATGTCATCAGGTAATTCGAGCAAATTGCCAGCCACTGCACAAAAAGACACTAGTGGTTTACTTTCACAAACATTTAGCTGTTTTCCAATAGGTCCTGAGTATTCTTTCGGCCCAGATGTGCTACCATCTAGAGACATAAACAAATGGCGACGCGGTAATTCATTTGTGTGAAGCATACAAACACACCATTGTAACGGTCTCTTCAAATAGTCTTCCAGGTATTTAATGACACCTCCTTTCCAACCTGTATTTGTAGGAGTGCCATCGCAACCCACACAACTTACTTCTTCTAAGTTCCATCCTTGATTTTCTAACAATTCTATAATAGAAGTGACAATCCCTTTCGCAGTACCTCGACTCGGCGTCGTATGTCCCAAGTAAATAAATCCCGGCTCTGTAAGAACTGAAATGTGTTCTTCTAAGACTTCTTTTCGGTGGTACCGGCTGTCTATTTTATTGATCTTGAGAGTTTTATCTTTTCGCCCATCGAAGTAGATACTCTTTATAATAATTTTATCGATGTCTTTGCTGGCTTGGGTACGTGACTTTGAAACAGCTCTGTGAATCTAATTTTTATCAATCACAAGGTTTAGATCTTCGGAAGATACCATTCCTACATCAACTAAGACTGCTGAAGCGACTGCAGCTGCCGAACGCTATGATAGTCCGTATCGATCACATACCTTAGCTACTGTTGGCAGCGTCAGAGTGTTCCGACTAAATAAATTAGATGGAGACTCCTTTAAGTCACTTTTAGTAGAAGGTTCTATTAAAAGCGACTGTGAACGAGGCGGCAACACGCGTACCGGTACAGTATCGGTTTGTGAAGTACTCGGAAAACATGCTTGCTCTGTCCGCTTCAAATTTTCTTGTCTTTGATGTTTCTTTAAAAGCCTTGCAGTTTCTTTTGCGTCTACGCCGCTTATTGCCATTTTCCTATCATTTCTTTGGTCCAGTAAAAAATCTCTTTCAGAAATGGGAACTTTCTTGGGTTTAGTGCAGGAACAATTTTCAAACGAAGTGCACTTATAAGCAGCGATGTCAAAAAGCTTATTTGACGATTCCAAAAAGCACTTAACTTTGTTGTCATAGCTATCGTTTCTCTTTCCTTTAGGATATCTTATTAGTGATAAATATTTGTTGAAATATGCGGTTAGCAGTTGAGTAACCCGTACGTTAGAAACGATGGGAAATGAAGCTTTGGTCCAAATTGTGTTAAGTTTTCCAGAAACTATTGAAAAGACTTCTGTGTTCGATGGATCTTTTCCGTTTTTCTGTAGTTTTAATTCACTTTTAGTAAATAAAATGCACTTAATAACGTCTTTTATAACAGGTAATTGGCGATCGTCAAGTTCTTTATAAGGTCCCAATATAGTACAAGTAGTCTCACTTCGCCTTGAACACATTTTTATGATTAAGTAACGCAAATTACGTTTTTCTTTCAAAGAAGAACAGAACAACTCCTTACAAGAGTAAAATCGAAATAGAAATGAGACGAACTGTCTTGTTGTAGAAGTAGCGCACGTACGAAAATCAAGTCAAAACATGAATTTTGTAGGAATTTTACAAGTCCGATCCAAACCGATTGATCGCTAAAACAACCTGTCGATACTTGCAAATCATAGCCGAGGCTTTTCTTATTGATAAAATTACAAGACAAAACAGGATTGATTCATAAAACATAGAATATACGACATTGATTACAAGGTTGTTTTTGCGAATTTTCAGTAAATAAAAATGCTGGTAGAGCCCTAAGGATATTTTTAAATATTTTTTGAATTATTTTTACGCTAATCTACGTCTAACAGCGCAACTTTGGAGAGGTCTTAAGTAGCTAAAATAAGAATAAAAATAATTCGGGACACCCTAATGTCCGTGTGGTGACGGATTAAGAATACAGAATGTCACTACCCCGTTTCATACCGTGGGTGTTGTAAGAGCCGACTAAGCGAGCAAATTAAGCAGGGCAACGTCACTACGAGAGAAGGAAAACTTGACACAAACCCTACACCAAGAAGTCTGGCCAGCGTGATAAAATAGGCCAAAACCTCCTTTCTAAGGAGAAGCCTATGTCCAGCAGTGGACTGTTATAGGCTGTTGATGTGTGGTATGAAACGATGATAGCTACTGTCATTACAAATTAATGAAATGCAATAATCCTACTGTTATCCACCCCTTTGGGGATACAGACGTGAGATATTTACTGCACTGCACTTTTGACTGCACGGATGGCGTAGTGGTTAAAGTAGTCGCTACGCCGCTTGCTACTACGCCGAGTGTTGTGGGTTCAAACCCCACATGGGACGACACTTTGTGTGATTCACAAATTGTTGTTCTGAGTCTGGGTGTTCTTTGTGTCCGTTTCATGTATGTTTGTAAAGTCCCCCGCGACACAAGAATGTATATTCTCTCTCACTCTTTTAAAAAATTAAAAAATAATAATAATTATGTAATAATAATGTTTGCTATCATTTAATTTCAGGCGCTTGCGACGGAGTTCGCCGACCAGCTCAACGACGACAGGTAAAATAATTTCCTAACATTAAACAACGACAAAACCTCCTAAGGTGAGGCCTATGTCCAGCAGTGGACTATTAAAGGCTGTTGATGTAATGTGAAACAACGACATTATTTCAATGCACTGATATATTTATTTTTCATGTTTTTTAATAAATACTAGAATTTTAAATACAAACTCAACAGTTTAGAATTTATCATATATTCAAATACCCGCACGTGAGGGTAGCAAATGATTGCTGGTAAAAATATTAAGGTATTTATATTTTATGTTTTGAGCATTTTCAAGTTTTAATTAAAATTGCTATTATTTTGAAAAAAGTCTCATTCCTAAATTTTAAGATTACACCGTGAGGGTGTTTTGTTGTTTCTTTTTAATTAATCATTTGCATGTTTACAATTGTGTTTTAAAGCATGAATCTGATAACAGTGTTCTATTAAGCTTGTTATTAAAACGTGTACATTAAAAACAAGTTTGATTGTAATCATCTACAGTCATTTCATTTTGATCTTTTCATCCTGAATGTACAGTTAGCAACAAATAAATACAGTGCTGAATATTTACAAAACTATTTATCACTTTTAAACCTACTGCATATTTTAATAAATAGATAGTTTTTAAGTCACGCCATTGTTGAAGCGGTGATCATCAAGATGGTGTGTTCTTTTAAGGAGAATTTTAAGTTAATATACAACTGCAGTCCAATAAGACAGTTAATAATAACATACTGACATTTAACGAAATGGTTAGACCACTGCATACATGCCACACCATAATGTTTGTAACCGTATACAGCGATATTTCGCACCTTTATTCATAAACTGAATTAACTTAGAATTTCAATATTGTGGGAAATCGCATTTAAAGTTTGACATTCATGTACGTGCGAGTTCGTCAAAAAGAGAACGACGATCTCTTATCTCTGCCATTTTCATGGTATCGAGTCGGCTGTTGGATTGTTCGTGTTCTACTGATGAAGTTGATTTGGTATTTGTTGAAAACTCGAAAAACATAAATTTTGAATTAATTCAGTTTATTATTAAAGGTGCGATTTGTTCCTGACTGTACCAAACTGCACACGAGTCCACTCATCTGTACTGTACTGGTCTTTTCAGTTCTATAATAATCGACCTTCTTACATTCTAACAAGGGTGTTTTTCCATCGTTTCTCTATAATAAACACTTCTCAGTATTAATTACACTTCTCCACCGAACCTCGAACCAAGGCAGGCATTCTTGTTCCTAGGACTCGCAGCTGTATGCGCCCTCGCCAAGCGTTGAGAGTTTACAGGAGATAGCCGAGGCGATGGGCGCAGCTGGCTTCGAGCACTACACGGAAGGCAAGGCGCTAGTCAAGAGGCTCATACCTGCGAACAGTCAACCTGATCTGGACGTCGTTGAGTACCAAGGTCTGTATACAGGGTGTGTATTTGTACATCTATGTTAAAAACTGGTTGCCCGGTATAAAATCTACTGATCATCAAACCTGTTACAAAAACTTATACGTATTTTCAATTATGTAATATACATATCTCACACGGCCGTCTGATCCCAAAATAGGCAGAGCCTGTACTATGGTAACCAGACTGCTGATAAACATACTTATTTATTTCTAAATACATACATATTATAGATAAATTACACCCAGACACAGAACAAATGACCGTGCTCATCACACAATATTTGTCCTGTGTGGGAATCGAACCCACTAGACCAACAGGCCCGTCAAATCAATCAATCATGACCTTAATCAGTCAATTATAACCTTCACAAGGTCGAAAACCTATCGTTTAATATTTTATTATTAATTACTCTTACCGTAAAAGTTTACTGTGGGAGAGTCAAATGAGTCGGCTAGACCGGAGTGAAAAATGAGACCACACAGGAATAAATGAGACTACCGGTGCGGGTCTATGAGGGGCAGCAGGGGGGTTGCAGAATGTCCATGTTCGGAGGTAGTCTCTTTCCATCGGGTGACTCATTCGCTCGTATGACAGTGTCCAATACCATAAAAAAATTAACGGCTGAAAGTGATTGCGGTACCCTAAAGGACTGATTGTCAGAAACAGATAAATACACTCGCTAAATTTTATCGGTAAAAAACGCAACCAGAGTACCACCCGTCGGAGGTACGTTTTATTGTTAATGATAAATATTTTCCTTGGAGACGATCCAGCCAATCATCATAATGGAGATAGAGCACATCTTAATCTATGACTGGCTAACCTTCTAATCTCTGATCTCTGAACTGTTTCTAGGAGTAATCGGCCGAGCTGGTGTTGACTTCCCAGCATACCCAAACATCCCGGCGACGGGCTTCAACTGCAAAAATGTGCCTACAGGATATTATGCTGACTTGGAAACTGATTGTCAGGTACGAAACCCATCATTTAAATATTGTTAGAAGTTTAGTAAAGAAGAGAAGAAGCAAAAATATTTTTAGTAACAGGGTATCTTAGTCTCCAAATTTAAGTCCGCAATTTCTAAACCTTTATATTAAGTGATGAGAAACAAAAATATATAAGATTTTTTAAAACAACATAATAGCATATTAACCAACGATTAGAGTTGTGAGTTTTGGATCTTACCCTGGTGTACAGGAATCAAAATGTGGGGTAATAATATAATAATAATAATATACTACCACATTTACACAACGCCATCTAGTTCCAAACTAAGCAGAGCTTGTACTATGGGTACTAGACAACTGATATAAATACATATATACTTTTTTTTTGTAAATACATACATATTATACATAGAAACACCCAGACGAAATCAAACATTACATATGTTCATGCACACAAATGTTTGACTTGAGCGGGAATTGAACCCGCGACCATTGGCATAGCAATCCGTTACACAAACCACCACGCCATCCGGTCGTCCGGGGGTAGTTAGTCTTTAACCCGTGAAATAGCTAATATACATGATTTAGAACCTGTATGTATGGTTTGTATGTGTTTGACTGACTTAATCAACCTGATATCATAATTTTCAGGTATTCCACATATGCGACACATCTCGTAAGATCTCGTTCTTATGTCCCAACGGCACCATCTTCAGCCAGTCGCACCTAATATGTGACTGGTGGTTCAAGGTGGACTGCGCCTCAGCTCCTGCCCTCTATGAGTCCAGCGCTGAATACTACTCCAATGCACAGAAAAAGAGTCAGAAGTCCACACAGATCTTAAGCAAGAACCAGGATCTGCAACAACTTGGTGCAGAAACTAATATTAGGGCAGAAACTAGGCGCACACCCGTCAACATACCAAGCACAACCGAACGTTTTCTAAGAAACAGACAGAGACAGACTGAGATCCCAAAAGCAACAGCAAAAACGTATCAAACATTGTTTCCGGACAGCTTCAGTCCTACACAGAGAACAGCTGCTACAGCCGCATTTGAACAGAGAAGAAAGAATTTGGTACAACTGATTAATACTAACTTTGGTAATGCTAGAACGTCGACTACTCCCCAGACGTACAAGGACAATCAAGCATACAGAAACTCAGCAGCCGCATCAGACTACCATATTAAAGAAATGCAAGTAGCGGCAGAAACCGCATCATTCGCAAATAACAATAACAGGCAATTTCTTCAAGACTTAAACAGTAAAAACTACCGTCCCTACCCAGTTTTCAACCCGACTGTAACAGTTAAACCTAAACCTAAAAACAACCCTAATTTGACAACGCTCTATGACATTCGTGATAAACAGACAAACAAAGCAACAAATCCTCTTGAAGCTACCACGACCAAAAGGCCAACCTTACTACCATACACCAAGAGCGAATTTACTGTAAGACAGGAACCTTACACTAGGCCCGGTATATCTCTTTTGAAAACCTACCTCCAAAAAGAAAAGAATAAGACAACTTTGGCCTCAACGGAGTCAGCCCAAGTAACCGCACAAAAGAACAATCAACCTCAAAGAGATACCAAAATTCTTACTGAAACTAAAAGCAATTTCGAGACAGCTACGAAAATACCTCACACGGCAAGATTTGACATTCATACACAAGCAGAATCATCTGATAGACATGACATATTTTCAACCACTAAACAGGTCAAATCTACTACAGAATTATCATACAAAGAACGCCGCGAAAGACTCATGAAGAAACTAAACTTGGATAAATATATACCAACAGGTACTGAACTTGCAGCTGACAAAAGTAATGGAGATCAGACTAACAGGCCATCTTTAACACCTAATACGCTGCACAGTTTGGCAATATACTATGCTACTGCTTTAGATAATTTATCCACCACAACGAATCCAGAGGAAACTGAAACTGCAACACCCGCTTTTGACGAATATGAGACTATGGAAGAAGCACTACCAGCGTTGTTCAGCCGTCAAACTATCAATAAATACAGCAGTCTCTTCCATAACCAATCACCTAGCGCAGAACTGCTTGAAGAAATGAAAGCAGATCCTAATGGAACTTACAACGAATTAGTTGATGATCTTGCAGTTCAACAGAGTCAAAACCCCATTGCCACTTCACCACAAATACGTGAACTGGCTCAAGTCTTTACACATGCCTTATCTGCATACCTCCAAGACCCGGTGCAATTCCGAAAGGTTCTTTCGGATATTAGACCTACACATCCATCTTTTGGTGACCTTTTGAGCACCACTGAAGAATATACCAACACTGAACCGACAACCACGGTGAACGAAGAAGACGATGAAATATTAGGATTCTCCGATGAAAACAAAGATGAGCATGTTTTGACTGCAAGGGAACCAAAGGCCTTAGGTATCCCCACTGTTTTCCCAGTTACCTATGAATCTTCTACTACAGTTAGACCAGTAACTGAACCCGTGTCTGCCGCATATATGTCATCAACAACACCCAGAAATCCATTCAGATGCTGCGGCAAGATTTCAGCCTCATACACTTCGGCCGCTCCTACCTCCTCGACACCATCATATACGAGCACTGCCGCAGCCAACGCCAATATAGTTCCTCATGACTCAGCATTGACGACAAAGAGTGACTATTCTCCGAATAAATTCGGGGGCTTCCAAAACAATGCTCTAACCCTCAATGACAAGCCCTACGGCGATAATAGTGCTACAGAAGGCAAACCTTTGAGTGACTATGTCGAAGCTACAAACTTACCCACTGCTTGGGGCGTTGATGCTTCTGTGTCAACAGTTGGTGGTTTTGAAAGCAAACGAATTAGGACGACAACCGCAATGCCTACTACTACTGCAATATACTTCACCGAGACGGAAAGTGTAGAATCGGAAAATGAAGAAGAATTACAAAGAGCTCACAGTCAATCATTCAAAGCTCCCGAAAGTAACAGTATTCGTCATGGCAAACAGCTCGGTTTTACTTCTGAAGCCCTCAAAAAACCAGCTGAAGACCTTGAAGCTCCAACTTTAGCAGACGAAGCCATAACTACGATACAAACAACACAACAGCCAACTACGGATTCTTTAACTACCACAGCAATACCTGATATTGTTTTTACTTCCCCAGACAGCGATAAGACAACAAGCCAATTTACGTGGTCCAGTACTTACGGTACGTGGCAAAGTACGGTCATTGACCCAATTACATTAAACGAGGGCTTAAGCCCAACAGCGCCAGACCTAAATCAAGGATTATCGGAAAACACTTATGTTCCCAATACTGCAACAACGCCTAGTGATTATTTCGCCACAGAACAGACCGTTTCGCCCACAACTGTTGAAGTGAGCATACCAGATAAAAATAACGTAACTGCGAGGATTGGAAGACTACTCAAAGATTCTTCGACTGAACCAGCTCAAGATCTTACAACAATCACAGACACTGTGGTGGAAAAGGCTAAAGAAATCATGAATGTCACAACAGCGGAGAAGCTAATGAATGTTATGAAAAAAACCAAATCAAAGACAGTCAAGAGATTAATATTATTATTGATTCAAACTTGCGATGATGATCACAACTCAACCGCGGAGGCATCGAAAAAAGCTTTACTTGAAGCTCTAATGGCTGTCTCTCAGAAAGATATGGAAGATATGGTTAAAGACCAAGAAATTACTGAATCGCCTACAGCAGAAGTTGATAGGTCTACAACATTTAGGAGAATAGAAAGAGTAGAAAGACCACGAGGAGATAGAAGAGGCAAGAACCTTAACTTTGATCCAAGCGCTGTTAATTCTTTATCTAACACTAATACTGCGATTACTGACGGTATTAAGACAACAATAGAGGATATTGAACCTACAGCAACAACCTTCAATCCCCAAAGAACTACTCCGACTCGAAGGGGTATTAAAAGGTTTCATTCTAAAGCAACAACGGTAGAACCCACAAGTACCAAGACTAGTTTCGTCGAAGTGCCTAAGGCAGAGCATGTTGAAGACACTCCGAAGGCAGAAGCAAGAGTCTCAGAGTCCAGTGATTTAAAAACTGCCGCTGACACAAGAGCTTTGGAGTTATTGAGATCACTTTACACCATCGCAGCAAGATGGGGTTGAATTGAAACTAGTAATTTAAAGGTTTTGTTTTTATATTTAGGGGTTGATTCTATGAAATTTTCAATAATAAATTAAATATTTTAGGTTAAATACTATTATTGATCACAATCTGTAACCAAATTTTAAAATTTATATCAGTAGCTTATCAAGAAATGTTTTAGGTCCTCAAAGAAAGATTTCGTTGTTAGTTCAATCCCTAAATATAAACTGTACAATATGTGATTTTGTAGATAGCAGTATTTGAACTTTAAACTAAATTGATGTTAACATCAGTATTTTCAGAGACTTTTAAATTTTGCTCACTCTGAACTAGAATATTGTTACAGTATCACAACATACACATTAATGATGATATTATTTGAAAACTGTTACAAGTACAAATTGTTTATACTATATCTTAAATAAATAAATACACATTCCAGTCTTTTGACAGTTTTCAGTAGTAATATTGTGGCGTCTTTGACGTACAGTGGAATACATACTCCAGTGCCATCTAACGTAGACACACCGAACTACGGAGTTACTGCTAATCCTGTATCGCGATATGAAAAGTTGCCGATTAGTATAATATCCAACTTTTGTGTCGCGGCCCACCAGGTATTACACATTAAATAATTTAGTATGTTTTTTAGTGAAAGAGTAATGTTTTTTATATTTTTATCTGGATTTACATAAACGTAGCAGCAATAACAGTAAACTTGGAACAATATTTTAAATTATTAATAATTTTACGTTTTTATGTGGTTTTGCTACCGTTTTCGTCCGTGTAGTGACGGATTAAGAATACGGAATGTCACTACCCTAATTCATTTCGTGGGTGTCGTAAGAGCCGACTAAGGGCGCAAAACAATGTAGGACACCAGCACTGCAAAAAGAAGGAAAACTTGACACAAACCCTATACCAACCCGTCTGGCCAGCGTGGTATAGTTGGCCTACTATCTCCTCCTCTACTATACCTCCTTTCTAAGGAGAGGCCTATGTCCAGCAGTGGACTATTACAGGCTGTTGATGATGATGATGATTGATGATGTGGTTTTCTAGAAATGCATTTGTTTAGGTATAAATAAAATTAAAAAAGCAAAACTTTTCAATTATAAAAACCTTGGCTGGCAGGAAATAAGGATCAAAAGTTACAACCTTCATATACTCCCATAGTTTCTAGACAATTTAGAAATAAAAATATATATTCCAAGTGTCCTGCAATTATGTGTATGTTGTACTAATGTAACTAATTTAGTAAAGTTAATTTAGTTAACTTATTTTATCACTACTGTTGAACAATTCGACTTTATAGACTTATAGTATTTTATTTATAGGAAAAAAATTATAACTTGCCTATTCAGTAGGAGACATAAGGCTATAATACGCTGAGTTACCTAAATCTATGCTTAATTTAGTTTGTACTGTAACCGTTACACTGCCACAATAATACTGTAATATATATTATCGTAAGTGGACTATTATTAGATGTATTATATGTTAGATATTTTTTAGTAAATTTTTGTATAAAATACTTTTTTGTGTTTTTTTTTCATCATCTTTATGAAGTCTCGTTGCACTTTATGCAAAGCCCATGTTAAAGTCGCTTAACAGACCGTCCATAAATTTATCTTTCCTCCAATTGGGAGGGGGGAAAGGGTCGAAGCAAAAAAAAAATATTCGTGTAACGTAATTTATGGATGTGCCCTATTTTTTTTCATATAGATAGCCTAGTTCCTCGTAGTTTTAATAAGAACTCAAGACCTCCTACACAAGTCATTTTAAGACTGGTAGATTTGATCCCTCTTCTTTGAGAAGTTCTTACGTGAAATTCATAAATCAAACCACGTAAATATACATTAAATTACTTTAATAAAGTACCTTATGTACAACGTTTTTGTATAGACAACAATTTACCTTAACACAAGTAAATAAGGTCACTTCTTCTCTGCATTTCTTTTTAAGAACTTCTCGATGTCATTGTCGGTGACTTTGTGTCCGGGTTTAAAGTAACTCTTGAGTTTACGTTTCTTCTTCATCATCACCTTGGAGGCGGCGAGAGCTCCGCGGCGTTGGAGGGACTCGAAGCGGTCGCGGAGGAGGTTTGCTGAAAAATGGTCTCTATTGTAAATACTTTTAGGTTCAAATAGACAGAAGTAGACCTCTGTTTCTAAAAAAAAATGTTTTGTGTTAGTAAAAAAGTCGAAAGACTTAATTGAACATTATAGGTGGATGAAAATATAACTTTTTATTTTTACTGGAAATTTAACATTTTATTTTTTTTGAGGTGTGAATTTGTAAGATGTATGGTGGACATGGTGTGCTTGATGGTACATATAAGTACAAGGAGGATCCGCGTTGTTATGAAACTCTGTAACTCTTCTCATCAACTTAACTAATTAGGTTAGGTTAAGAGTAGGCAAAAATTTTAAAGTGTGCAAAAAGATTTCGACGGGTTCTTAGACCAAAAAGTGATATCTTAATTTAAGCAGAATGTACTGGTGATGAATTGATTTCATTTTTAATATATGTATATTATATTTTAAATTAACTTGTTACAATACAAAGTCTGGGGCGATAACACTAATTGTTCACACCATTGCCGTATATTATGACGACTAAACCATTTTTAACACAACAAAATTTTTCTAAACAAATATCTCACGAATAACAATATTATTATTACAATAATTCATCGAAAGCATCATTCAGCGATTTGCGGTGGCTAAGTGCCGACGGACTGTACTTACTGAATGAACTAATTAAACACGCGTGTTTTTCATATATATATCTGACGCAATAATCAATATATTTCGTTCGATTCGAGTGTAGTAAAAGCGGAAACGTGTGATTACGCCGCGTATAGAGCTGATCTCCGAACGGTCCATTTATTATGACTGTTCAAAAAAAAATGTCCTGTTTCTAAACCACTGAATATTTTTTGTTCATATTTTTTGCAAAGCGTCTAGAAATAAGGTTCAGAATATGTGGTTTAAAAATTTGTCAATAAAAACCACGCTGTATGTGTTTCGTATGACTAGTATTGGATCCGACGCGGCGACGGGGACCTTTAAGCACACGGTATCGTGAGTCATGCGAGTACAGAGTACACAGTACACCCGCTAGTGTTCCACTACTCACAGTTGGTCTTAACGTTCCTGAGGTCCCCGCTGAGCAGCGCGGGGTCCACGAAGTCGGGCTCTGGTCGCGGCGCGGCGTGCGCGCTGAGCGCGGGGGGGGCGGCGGCGGCGCGCGCGGCACGCGTCTGCACGCGCTTGTCGCGCGAGCTCGCCTGCTGCTGCTCGCTCTCAGAGATCGACGACTGGAGTTGGCGTAGCCTACAATTATTACAAACTTTACAGATGCCTATACTTACCAGATACAAAAAAATTCAAACTATTTTTTTAAGAACGCGAAAGTAAATATATGTCATGAAATACGGTACCGAATCGCGAGAGAAATTGTACCACTACGTTACGAAGCGCATATAGTACACAATAAAAAAGTACAGCAAAAAATACCGTAAATATCCAACCGCCGTTAATAGAATTTTAGTTACACATTAATCAAGACACTTATCTTTATCTGTTCTTTAAAAAAGAAATAAAAATAATTTTATAAAAAATCTTGAAAAAAGCTAAGCGATTCTCCATTCCACTCCATTAACTCCATAATTCATTAAACGATTTATAAAATTAATTTTAATTTCCTATTTGTAACTATTTAAATTTATAGAAAACAATCTTAATTTTCACCCATTTCAGGTTTAAGGTTAAAGTTAAGGATTGACAAGCACAGCATATTATAATTTACCATAATGTAGATGCATTAAAATCGATTGTCCGTGTGGTGACGAATTAAGAATACAGAGTGTCACCACCCCTATTCATCCCGTGGGTATCGTAAGAGCCAACTAAAGAATTAAACTACACAGAACAACAGCACTGCAGAGAGAGGGAAAACTTGACACAAACCCTATACCAACCCGTCCGGCCAGCGTGGTATAGTAGGCCAGAACCTCCTTTCTAAGGAGAGGCTTATGTCCAGCAGTGGACTATTAAAGGCTGTTGATGATGATTGATGATTTTATTTTTAAAGTTTTTTATAAGCAATTGTAGACAAACACTCACTTATAAAGATCTGTAATCTTCTTCTTGTTGATTTTCTCTCGTTTCAACCTTTCCTTCTCTAAAATCTGCTCCTTCTGTTTCCTTCTAGCTTTGTGATCTTTCTTCTTATTCTTGACAGGCGGATTGATAGCCTTGTACTCGTTATCTGTTTCCGACTCTGGTTCAGGGTCATTAGCCGGGTTATGGGGCTGAGGGAGGCCAGCTGACATCTCTTCTTTCCATTGATTCTGGAAATAAAATGAAATATGATAACAAACACTTAGGATAAACCTGGTGATTTATATTAAATGCATACTATCAGTGTGGTAACGGATTAAGAATACAGAGTGTCATCACCCCTATTCATCCCATGGATGTCGTAAGAGGCGACTAAGGGAGCAAACTACAAAGGACAACAGCCCTGCAAAGAGAAGGAAAACTTGACACAAACCCTATACCAACCCGTCTGGCCAGCATGCTATAGTAGGCCAAAACCTACATTCTAAGGAAAGGCTTATGTTCAGCAGAGGACTTTTAAAAGCTGTTGATAATAATAATAATAATATTCTACCACATTGACACAACGCCATCTAGTCCCAAACTAAGCAGAGCTTGTACTATGGGTACTAGACAACTGATATAAATACATATATACTTTTTTTTTTTGTAAATACATACATATTATACATAGAAACACCCAGACCAAATCAAACATTAAATGTTCATGCACACAAATGCTTGACTTGAGCAGGAATCGAACCCGCGACCTTTGGAATAGCAGTCCGTTACACAAACCACTACGCCATTCGGTCGTCAAAATGATGTGTGATGATGTGATGTGCATACTGACATCTATGATGAAATGTATATTTTGTTGTCTTTTTTTATGGTATAGAGACGGTCACCCGATAATAAGAGACCAGCGCCTCCCATGGACACTTGCAACTCTAAGAGTCACTAGAGCCTTTGAGAATCCCCTCCAAGGAATGTGTGGGCTCGGGTAAACACAACACAACATCCAGCAATATCCCACCAAAACAACATATCATTTTTTTAAATAAACTTAGCCCATACAGAAAATAGCTTTGATTTTAGTAGGAGTTTGAGCCCTTTAAGGCGTGCGAAGGAAGAAAATACCCAAGTTGCTGATGGCTATGGGAACTGTGTATCCTCTATTTATATATTCATAACTTACTTCTTTTTCCTGCTGTGTAACCCTACGGAACATGCCGGTGGTGACTCTGAGGAGGTGTGCCTCACGCTTCATCATCTTCTGTTCGTGTTGGCCTACTTCTTGAAGAAGTTCTTGGTGTTCCTAAAATAAATACAATTACTTATTAGGTACAGCAGAAAATAACATGATGATATGGAAAAGGAGGGGCTTTCATAAGCATAGTGGTCAGTGATCCTCACTGCTCAACCAGAGGTCTTGGGTTCGACTCCCACCCTATACAAATAATTGTGGGATGAGCACGATTATTTCTTCTGCGTCTGGCTGTAATTTTTTAAAATAATTATGAATTTAAAAATATGAGTATGTTTATCAGCAGTCTGGTATATAGTACCATAGTACCTAGTTTCGACACCTTAACTACTAAACTGCTCAACCTGAAATTTGAATACACACGACCAAGGGTACAGAATAGATCAAGAGGCACTTATCTGAAATATACGTATAATAATAATTTATTTGTATACATATAGTAGGTAACTAGTAAATCGTCATGTATATGTCTCTTTCACTCATGTACTATTAAACCAGCGCCAGTCTGCGATTATATGAGATTGTAGTCAATCTCATATCACATTATCATCCAGAAAAATGTGTATTGTCAAAATGTACATACGCAAGCGACACTGCAGTCATAAGTGAACGTTTATGTACAGAAAATGCAACATAATGTTCTAACATAGTCTTTGAAAATTTTATAGAAGAAACATAATCAAAAAGAACTTCTCTTCGTTCTCTTACCTTAAATGATGGATTGTAACTGACTCCTGGATGAGGTACTTCAACAGCTGGACGAGTGGCTAAAGTTTTGGCTACTGGGGGCTTCGGCCGGAGTCTCTGTGTGGTCAATACATTATGCAGTTGGGCTTCGGTAGAAATGAACTCGTGACAGAGGGTCTCTGGTATGCCTTTAGCTTCCGGTACTGAAATAATGCATTATGATAAAATGAAGTATTTGAAAGTAGTATTACGATAATGACTATTAAATAAACATTCCGTGAAAGCTGGCAGACTGACACAACGTGAAAAGTTTGCTATTGTACCTAAAATTATTTGCTCTAGACCTGGTCATAAAGAATCGAACTCGGCTAACAATATTGCATTCTCTCTTCTACTTTGAGGCATTGTTATGACTAATTTGAGGCATATTATGGCTAATTTTGTTTAAGTTTGACTGCACGGATGGCGTAGTGGTTGAAGCGGTCGCCACGCCGCTTCCTATTACATGGGACGACACTTTGTGTGATCCACTAATTGTTGTTCCGAGTCTGGGTGTACTTTGTGTCCGTTTCATGTATGTTTGTAAAGTCCCCCGCAACAATGGATTTATTCCTAGAGCGGGAGTTGTCTTTTAAAATAAAAAAAAAAAAAAAAATAAAAAAAAAAAATTGTGTCAGCAATGGAATGAGAATTGATTTATATATATAACTATAGATGATGTTCAATTTTCTTCTCAGAACGACATAAATAATGGAAATAAAAAAACACATATTTCTTTAATAATTCAGAACGATATTTTCATCGTCACTTCATCAGATTCATCATTAGCTTCCTCTTTAACTTCTCTTTTATCAGTAGCCCGTTCCCGTTAATACCAAAAATACTAATGTCTGGAGCATTAATTTTTATGCCTGTGGTTTCTGAGTATGACCAAGTCTACAGTTTGTAAATAATTTTAGTATAGTAACATTTATAAGATATTTGTATGAATGATTGAATTAATTCAAGTGTATATCTCTTAAGGATTCTTTTATACAAGAATTAGAATACAATAGAAACAATACTCACAATCATTTCCCCACAAATCCAAATTGAAGTTCTCTCTAACTTTCTTTTCTTTCCTTTTTTTATCTCTAGCCATTTTCCTATTCTTCTTAGCTTCCTCTAGCTTCTTCTCAAATATTTTCTTTTCTGTTTTTCTCTTTTCAGACAATTTGCTTAATGCTGTTTTCTTGGATCCAATTGGATTTACACGATTACGTTTTGCATTTGGATCTTGGACCTGAAATTATATAACAATGAGGTAATCATAATTATTAAAACTTGAAATAACAAGGTTTAACTGAAGTCAGGTAAATACTGACTTTATGTGAAGTCCTGTATGATGTGCAGGTTGCACATCACACAGGACTTCACATAAAGTCAACTCAACTTGATATTAAGTCTACATGAAAGAGTATTAATATACCTTGGAAGTTGGCATCAATACTTCAAAGCATCTAGGTAGCTCTTTCAGCTTGGCTCTCTTCTGCAACTTAGCTGACAGAGGCTTCTTGTCCTCAACCTCATCATCAGCTTTAGCTTCTTCTCCTGTGTCTATCACAAACAACTCGCTATCTGGCTTTGTTTCAAACTTGCTAAAATAACAAAAATGTGAAGAATGAGAAACTGAAGTAGGAATATAACACACTTTTATTACTTTTAAGCAATCCACGTAAACAAATCTTGGAAGTAAATTTGAACCTACCTACTTCAAAACTGTTGTTTAACTTCCGAAATGAAACTTTGTATGCACATGAAGTTTTAGATGGTAATATGTCTATTATATGTATACTAAGTATATCGGCACAAGCATATAATGGATTAACTTGGTTTAGAAAAATATTAGACAAAACAGATTGTTGCTATTGAAATATATGAAATAAAGATATTTTGAGTTTGAGTTATATACATAATGATTCTATTTAGAAGAACATTAACTGCCTGCTTTGTATAAAGTGCCAGACTAAGTAATAACCCACGATTTATTACCCTACCCTTGTTAATAACCTATAAACTTTGAATCACTTCTTCATCCAAGTTACACATTCATCATCATCATCATCATCATCATCAGCCTATCGCAGTCCACTAGCATAGTATATTTATATATATAGTTACACATTCATTAGTTGATTTAGGCGAAGGCTGATATAAGTGCTGTTGAGGGCAGGTGCTGGGAGGATTCCGGATGTCTTAATATCAGCTGTTCCCGGACCCCTCCTATCTCAGGCGCAAAGTGGTACACCGTGTGGTTTTAGTCGGTTCGATTCCCACACACCGCCCCACCGCAAACCCCGGTTGGGTGACGACCCGAGGGGGATTACACACGTTAAAAGGCGCAGGCTGGTGCAACTTGGTTGTGATATTAGTGAAGTAAAAGTTTTGAAATATTTAGTACTTCCCGTCATCATCATCATCATCATGTATATTTACAAAATTATAGATAACTTTTATTACGGACACATCTAAATCCACTCCGTTTTTAATAACTTTAACAGTTTTTAAACTTTACATCTAATTTGTATACTACTTAGATCGAATAGAAGAAATCCATCTTCTATCAAAGTCCTGATACTATCACTTTATTATTTTAAGCAGTATATTTTTTCTTTCAATAAAGAATAATATAAAAATAAACAATGTATTTCGCACATGTCACGATGTCAACATAACCTTACCCTAATCTCTCTTCCAATCGTTGATCTTCTAGGAACTCCTCCACATCGCGAATATCACAATATTTTCCCCACGCCTTTTTGTTCTTTTTAGAAACACGTTTCTTCTTTTTTACGACGGACATTTTATTATATATTTAATTAACTTCAACTAACGTGCGCTACAGTGTTATACACGTCAAGTCGAGTTTTGAAAGAAAACATTCCGTTTTTTTTAATGACAGCAAATGTCAGCAAAACTACATTGTTAGAAATGTTTGCTAAAATCTGTTTTAATTTTTTCCAAAGTTATTTCTTTATCTACACTTAAATTAAATTTTTTTTGGTCATAACATAGTTAAAATATCATTTATAAAAACAATAAAGGACAACAATGTTTTTGAAGTATATTATTTTTAAGTGATCAGGAACGTTTTCCCCAGTCAGAACTAGTCAGAAGTTGACTTATGTTGAAACGTTAGAAAATACTTTTGGGTTTGTGAAGTAAAAATATTTAGGCATAGGTAGGAATAATAATAACTAATAAAATAATTAAAATCCAAAGCATTTATTTTGTACTTCTATTTTAATGACTATTAAAATAAATATAAAGATAAATTTATATTCCTATTTACCAACAAAACTTAAAAATAAGTAACAAGATTTACAGACTAAAAAGTCGAACTAAAAATGGCATTTGGGTAGTTCTACTTTCATTTCTTCTCTTCGTCACAATCTTCGTCCTCTTCTTCCTCCTCTTCGTACTCCACAGCTTCTTGCTGTGGTTTCGCTTTGACTGGCTCTGAAATATATTGAGCATGCAATAAGTAGGTATTCCTACCCATAGGTGTGACTATTAGTGTTAGTGACCACTATGAAAGCTTTTTCTCTTTCGTTCACTTTAAATAAGAAACTATTTTGGTATTATAGCAGTTTTTAAAAGGCATGAAACTTGCCTAGGAAAGATAATCCGTTTAAAAGACGCCATGCGGTTTCTAGAATCTAGACCATTTTTAGACATAGGTCTAGGTTTCGAGTTCCAGTTTCTTCTATTTAATTTTAAGATAGGTAATGTGAGTAGGTACTAATAGGATATCCTTTGCATAGATAATTACTAAGAACAAGTTATTTTAACAGTTAAAAATCTATTTACCAAAAAAATTACATACAATTGTACTACTGATGAATACTTAAATATATAAAATAAAAGCATAGATTACTTACAATACTGATTTGCTTCTACTACCAGCTATAATATCCAAAGTGCTTTGCGTTTTGGCTTTCGTTATTATTGTAAAAGCTATCTAGTAAGTTAACATGTGTGTCAGGGAAAATTTTCTGATAAGTTCCAGCGTTAACAAACTTAACTGGCTTAGCTAACAAAGTCTTATTTTTAGCAGACAATGGCTTATGTATGTTCGGCTTGTACTGACTAAAAGTGGAATAGAGAGGTCGGAATTGAATTTTGGCAATATGCTTGTGCTTATTTCGTTTCGGCTTTGGAGAAGGTGTTGGGATCGATGTGGGTTCTGGTTTATGCGTGATGAGTTCAAACACTGTTTCAGTGTATTCGTCTAATGGTTCAGTGGATTCGTCTAATTGTTCAGTGGGTTCGGTGGCTCCGTTAGATTCTAAGGGTCGTGTTTCACTGATCTGGACGGACTGTTCGTGGACCAAGGCGTACGATTCTGAAATACGAAAGATTTCACTTAACGAATCGTATAGATTCGTTTTGCGAGCCATGAAACAAAGCCATAGACCTATAGGAACATGCATAAATCAACAAATACCGAGTATAACTTGAAATGAAAAATTAAGAATAAAGTGACTGTTATTATTTAGAAATAAGAATAAGTAATTAAACCCTAACAACACAAATTCTAAGTAAATTTTGATCAAGATTAACAATCGTGAATTACGAAAAACTTAGACTAGTTGTGAAAGAAGTGAGTCCAAAATTGCCGAAATCTGAGAATTTTGACTCTCTTAGCCTCAATGCTACTTTTGGAATGTTTGGCAATACATTGCAAGTCTTTCAGAAATTTCAAACAGTCCTGCTTTAAGAATAAAATCATTCAGATAGTTAGGTAACCAATAATTTGCTGGTGATACCTGTTAACTTTATATTACATATTTCAAGTTTATAGTCTTAGGTTGTAGCTACTAGCTATAGAAAAACATGAACGAGCTAATGAGTTTTCAAAACAAGCACAGTCAATTTCGTTTTAGTGTCTTAAATTCAGCAATAATTTAGTGCAGATTCATGTCTGTTAAGTATTCGTACAGAAACTTAAGTTGAATCTTTTTAACTATGGTGACTTCATAGACAATTAAATAATTATTCGATTGCGTGCAAGTGTTAGGTGAAGGGTTGAGCAGGTTAGTCAAGTCAGGTCAGTTACTAAGTGAGATGTCAGTTATAGTCAGAAGTAATAGTCAAGTATAAGTCGGTTAAGTATTTAGTCAGTCGTAGTAATACAACAGAAAGAACAGAAATAACAAAAACAGTATTTTATTTTTCACACTTGTCGACACTATGGCTTTGAGACATCGCACTTAATTTTTTTGTTAGTAGTTAGTCTAAAGGAAGTTTATATTTTGTAACATGTAACGCAACATACCGTGCAACAAAACGTGACGAAATGCAAAATTTTATGTAACAACTCAGAAGTATATGGATAGATGTATAAAAAATGTTTGTTTGACAATAATTTTGAAAATAGAAGTAGATGAGTGGGAAACGATTAATAATTGAACATGCAGAATAGAAAGAGATAGATACAAAATATAAAACAATATACCATACGCAAGAAAGAAACAATGAAGTCTTACGATTTCTCTGTTTCTGTCTGTTCTCGTCTGTCACGTTTTCCAATTTAATATTCTCATTTTAATGGAATATTATATTTAAAACTGCGTTGCACGTTATGTTGCAAAACGGCGTTACCTTTAACATTTTGGCTGTTTACAGTAACCACTCAAAACTCAACATAATAATATATAACCTCTAGTTTTCGTATAAAAAGTATAAAAATGTTTTTAACGTAATATTTATCACATATTCTACATTTTTTTTATTTACAACACACTGTATAAGTTAAGATTAGAATAGGATTGGTAGGTGTAATAAATATTTTGTGTAAATAATGTATTTCCTATACTAATATCAACCTAAAATATAAGTTCTGACATTCTCAAACTTTTTTATTCATAAATTTTTAAGTAAAGTTAATAGAAAAACAAAAAATTGATTGAATAAAAGAAATTTAAAAAAGAAATGCACTGTACATTAATTGCTATAAGTAGGTTTCGTGCCTAAAATATAATATTTTACCTGAGGAGCTATTGGATGTTTTTTTTGCAAAAACTGTAAAAAAACCACAAAATAAATATAAATATTTAAAAAAATGTAAGAACTTCAGAACTTAAACACCTAAAACCTTAATGTTACTAGTGATGGTAGTCCGACTGATGCGTATAGTATTCCCGGCTATCTTGTTCTGGGCTCTGTGGCGCCACCTTGTACTCCTCAGGAGCTGTACCTTCGTTAGAAGAATCCTTGTGCTGACCACCTAGTCCTGCAGCAGCTGCCTTGGCCGCTGCAGCGGCTGCGTTAGCCTGCGCCTGTTGAGCTGCCGCCTGGAAATTTAATATACAATCATTAGTTTCTAGGCAAATTCGAATAGAAAATAATCTAGACAAAGAGACCTTGGCAGAAGTAGTTTAAAAAGGAATTGATTAAATTAATCATTGGATGTAATCTTCACACAAAATTCATTAAAACGAAATTACAATCGCTTAAAAAACTTAAAATAAGGTTATTAACAGATTTTCCAAAAGTTTTACAGTAGCATGTCTTTCTATCAGCTATACACAAGCTCAATAAATATTCCATGCAATACAAAAATATTTTTTTGGCGCGACTTTTATTTCGGTCAGTTCTGTCAAATTCAAACAAACAAGCAATCACACAAAATCTATTAATATTTATTTAGAAGTGGTATGTACAAAAAGTATCAAAAAAGACACAATAATATTTGTCTTCATCCCCAAGTAGTTAGAAGAAAATAGAAATTATTGTATCCTCAAATATGTATATCCTCGCTGCGTTCTTCTGTGTTTCCTGTTTAGGAAAATATTTACATTACTAAATTTACGAAATACCATCGTATACTTGAAATTAAATTAAAAGCCAATTCTATTTCAATGCACTCGAGAGCAATAAAATTGTCAGATTGTGAATTACTAACTTTCAGAGGTTTACCTAATTATTAATTGTATGAAGCGGCCTTTGGCCAGCACGTAGCCCAGACATCGTCACTATCAAGCATGACGAGCTTGGATGATGCATAAGACAACTACCTTCCATCTATCACGATTCGAGGAATCGCAGAATATTCTCTAATGCAATAGAATAGCATTCTTAATGTCAGGGTTTTCCAATCTCTGTCTGGTTCTCCTGCTACTGGTACCCGAGATGGAGTGGAGTTTTTGGTCGGTTCGAGTCCGTCAAAAACGCCGGTAGTGGTATCAGAGGGGATTCCGGACAGAAAAAAAGGGTTTTCCAGTTGTCTTTGTGACTTTCATTGCTCTCAAGTGTTTCATGATTTATATGAACTAATATGAGCTTTGGCCGTGTTTTATGAAGTTAATTACCTATAAAAAATATACTTTACTGTGTAGAGTAACTTTATTTTAATCTAGTTTGTACAAAATTAAAACTTTAAGAAAACATACCTGAGCCTTCCTGGCCGCTGCTTGCGTGGCCTCAAAGTCGATCCTGACTCCATGAAGTTGTTCCTGGAGAGCATGAAGCCTCTGTCGGGCAGCTCCTACCATGGCAGTTTGAGCACCCAGTTCTCCTGCCGCTTGGGAAGCAGCCTCGTTGGCGTTTTCAGAGGTGGCTTGAGCGGCGTTAAGGGCAGCCTGGATTACGTTCACCTGTAGAAACCAAATAGTGGTTAGGGATCTTGATTACTGATCCGGACGTTGGCGGCATTATAATTTATCTGTACTATGTACGTATTTAGTACTTAAACGGCAACAAATGTATGTTTGTAAAGATGCGACACAGGATATACTTATTCCTAATGCGGGAATTGTCTTTTTAAAAGAAAAATAAAAGAAGAAAAAAAAAGCCGTGTGGTGTCGTGGGACACCCGATAGGAACGAAGTTGTGACGATCGAGTAAAACTGATTTGACACGATTTTAATTACAACGCCATCTATGAAAGCGGCTATTACCTACATTACAAGACAATTAAAACAATTTATACATTGGTAAAATCTCCTTGCGAAATGATTTCCTATCTATTCGATAGATGGCGCTGAATGTCTGACAAGATGACACGAAAATAAAGAGCAAAAAGCCAACATCACGTGGTATTCCCAGGCGGTCACCCATCCAAGTACTAACCACGCCCGATGTTGCTTAACTTCGGTGATCGGACGAGAACCGGTGTATTCAACATGGTATGGACGTTGGCGAACGTTAAAGCAAATTTAATGTATGGTATCCACAGTTAGACGTCAATTTATATTAATAAAAAAGTGTCGTTCCAAATTTTCGTACGAATTTTTTCCGTCTAGCCCCCTTTCACAACGCGCGATAAGGAACTTCGTTCCAAAAAATGCATCGAATCTATACACTCAACTTCTTGTAGACATACATCTAAAATTTGTCCAGAAGTTATTTCTTTTTATCCTATACCTTATCACTGTTTACCAAGAAACTAAAATAAAACATGTGAAACGGACTAAGTACAGACATTATAAAAATTAAACAGTAGTATAGTATTATTGTAGCCGTCATCGTCATACACGCAATTGGTGCATTTTTACGAACATACCCACATATTTATTGATTAATGAACCAAGGTATGTGACATCGAAAGTTTCTAATCAAATGCACAATTAAAATGCATGGCCATGACACAGGAAGAAAACTGCACACTCCGTGTTAAGATCAAGTTGCAAGATCTTATGTATAGATAGTTCAACTCAGTTGTTGTTGTTGTTGTCGTCGACCGACTGCCGCGTCACTGCCACACGAATGAAAGTTGTATATTTACAAGCCCACGCACACATAGGGCCGCGCGCACAACTGAGTTGAACTATATATATAATATACCTTGTTTCATTTATCCTTTCGATATATTAATCATACAAAGACATAGTCGATTGAACATGCTTCTGTATAATCTAACAAACATCTGTGATAAAATAAAATACAAATTATGAGAGATTTGTAACATACTTTTATAAGTAAATTACTAACTAACAATTTAAGTAACTTTTGGACGTCAGATAAATCTACGTGTAATTATCGTATCTAAATAACATTTCATATTTATTCAGGCAGTTTTACAAAATTAGTTCCTATTGTCTACTTAGTTGAAGTAATTAAAGAATGGGGCAAAGGTCGGGTTACCTTTGACCCTCAATCTAGGTGTGAACCTGTGTTTTAACGGCGTCAGTCGTTTCTTATTCTGGCCACTAATAACAAAGGGAGCATGCATCGTGTATGTGTCGGGTATATGTATGTATACGTAATCAAAATGACAATACTGCATTATAAAAAGGTAGATGATTGTCAATTTAAATCAGTATTTTTCTATTAAACGACAAAACGATAGACGCGGTATATTTTTATTTGAAATGGGTACTAAGGCGTAACGTCATTCCGCCAGCGGGACATTTATGTAGGCCGTCTAACTAAACACACAAAACCACCAGAAAGTTAGTAAATATGAACTAACATTACAAGCCTACACTATACTCACAATTACATACAAAAAAAAGATTACTCACAATCACAAGATAAGTGACAATTTACGAGTACATTCCGATTGGGTCTGTTCCGCAACTTTGTATTTTACATAACTTTTTAATTTACCTTTCGCGATACGTGCTTCACGCTTAATCGACAGGTATCTGAATTAAAACTAAAAAAACAAAGTTTTTAATGTAATGTGCACCGCTATAATTTAAATTAAGAATGTGCAATGTGTCACTGAACTCAAAGCCTTGGTGATAAGTGTTGTAAATAGCAACACCAGAAATAGAGCGTGACATTTGTGATAAATTAAAATGTCTCGTAAATAATTATGAACTTGTAAGTGCTTATTGCTCAATGTTACCGTTAATAATGTCGATTTCATCTACCTTATTTAGGGTGTGATTTGTTTTTTGTTTTTATTAAGGTTAGACAAAAAATAAGCTATTTCTTTTACCAAGAGTGGCAATGAATTAAGCTTGTGGACGTTTGCCAAGCCTCGGCACGCATGTAAATCAAATCAAATCGACGGAATCAAATTGACCGAATCAAACAGTGCGCATTTAGGGACTTCCTGTTACAGATATCCGTTCCTCTTCACGAAATTACTTCCACAGATTACATGCAATAGAAAAGAAATGTCGTCTTAATTAATTTTAGCCATAAAAGTAATAACGTCATAAATCAGGACGAAAAATATTTTAAACCATATCAAAATGAATTCAACTGCGAATTTTCCATTTTAATAATAAAGATATTTGGGTTAGTAGGAAAAGGGGTCTCAAAAGTTCGTAGAAAAATAATTAAATATGTACTTCTTGTAGAAGTAAAATATTATTTTCTTTTATATACGAGTATTAAGTAAGAATCAATCAAGAAGCATTCAACACCGATGGAAAAATTACCAAAATAACCAAATAGGAACATGTTTTTGTAATTCTACTTGATACAGACAGACAAAAAACAACTCTTATTTCTCTCCAAAAGAAAGTAATGAAAAATATACATCGACAAAATGGACCACTAGATTTATACACCAATACAGTTCTTAGATGAACAAGGAACTGCTATTTATTACATGAAAAATATTGTAATAATTATATAACAATGAATGTTTCACGAAGTGGTTGACTGAATGCGTTTTTAGATCCAATTTGCAAATACTGAGGCAAGATAGACTTGTTATACAAGTAGATCATTATTGAGAATAAACACGCAACAACGTAACAAAAGATTATGATGACAAAACCAAAGTCAAAAGTATTTGTTTTCCCATGGAATAGGGGGTGACCGAGCAGACAGGTCACCTGAGGCCTTGTGCGAGTTTATTTTACATCTATTCGTCTCTGGTGGCTATCACTGCCCATAGACACACTCAAATCAAGAGACGCACGTGTGTTGCAGCCCATTGAGTGCCACGTCAATGTGAAAGGGGTTTGACATCCGGTGACCTCTTTTACTCGGTAAAAAGCACTGAAAGAATTGCTCGATAGTGGTTCTCTGTTAGGCTGTGCTATCACTCCGGTCAAGCCGGCCAATTGTGCAGAAGCAAAGCTCTCTCATGATTAGTACATGGCATAAAAAGAAAGGTTTCATATCGTCTCATTGTCCCTGTCCTATCACAGGACGGCCCTATGGGTACGCGTCCCTAACCTTTTCGAGCAACTGCAGTCTCTGTCTTTCCTCCAATTGCCTTTCTTCCATAGTCCCATTTGAAAAAAATGACGTCTTGTCAGTTGCAATACCTTGCGAAATGTTTTGCAATTTTTTGCAATAACGCTGACACTAAATAACATTGTGAATATTGTAAGAGGACAAAAAGATACGATAAGCTATGTTGCATTATTTTCATTGATTACCTAATAAATATTGAACTAACGATTTTCAAAAAAAAAAAAATCAATGCGCGTGTTTTTTTTTCAAAAATGCCGAGGTATAGGAATAATGTCAAAGTCGCGGGGACTTATTAAAATTCATACAATAGAACGCTTAAACTCAGGACAGCTATTTGTCCCTCACGCAAACTTTTTGTCCCGTGTACGAATCAAACTCTTAATATAGGTCCTGTCTATCAACGTAATTTAACCAATGCGTCATGTGTGATATTAATATAAAAAAAATATAAAAATTTGGCGTTAATTGAAATTTTATGGGGATAGTACATCTCAGTAATAGATACAATTAGACCAGAATTTTATCGTAATACTAGCTGACCCGGCAAACGTTGTTTTGCATTATACATTATTTCTAGGAAATATTGAAAAAAAAAATTTAGGGGTGGGTTAATTTACCCTTGTCATTTAGGGGTATGAAAAATAGATGTTGGCCGATTCTCAGATTAAATCGGCTTACCCAATGTGCACACAAATTTTAATAAAAATAGGTCCAGCCGTTTCGGAGGAGTATGGTAACTAACATTGTGACACGAGAATTTTATATAAAAGATATTAAGCTTGTATATAATTTAGATACACGTATGGTTACATACACACTCACGCCTGTATCCCGAATCGTACCGAACGTAACCAAAGAATCGTATTAAACGCAAACATTTTACTAACTAAAATTTCATACCCACTAACGTTTATAAAGCCTAGAGACTTCAACTGATTATTTTAGTTATTAGTTGGGAAAATTGGGAATAGATAGAAAGGGATAATGTTTATACAGATATATTGGGGAATATAAGTAATAGCTCTAACAGGTCAAGGTCGAATACTTGTTACTCAAATTGGTTTTTGACAAAAAGTTCGAGTCGACTAATATTTCTAAATTTTCTATTTATCAATCTGTCAGTATCAGTTCAACAACAAAAAGCAACTATCTCAGTTCAATTTCAACAGATCAAATTATTTCCTAAGAGTTCCGTTGCGAGATGAGTTTTTCAATAATATTACCAAACGTCATACAGAAAATCGATTTTACAGTTGCTCGGTAAATTAATATGACAACGGTAGGTACGTAATGGTCTGTTTAAGAAATATTTCAATAGAAAATGGACTAAATTTATTTAGTTCTTGTGGCTTCCCTCGTTAAGGTCGAAATTCGTTTATCATTATATGTTTCCTTCGGGTGTGAATGTCCTTTTCTGTACCACTAAAGTTATAGTGTAAAGACGGATCTGTGATATTAGTTAGAATAATATCTTAGATCATTGACGTGTCTAGATAGCCTGTCGAATTTGTAAGTGCCGAAAAACCATTGGCCACTTTGCCACACATAGTATAGAACTATAAAGTTCCTAGTGGTTAGCGACCCTGACTGCTAAGCCGGTGGTCGTGGGTTCAATTCCCAACCAGCAACCAGGAATATTGTGTGATGAGCACGGTCATTTGTTCTGTGTCTGGGTGTGTAATTTATCTATAATATGTATCTATTTAGAAATAAATAAGTATGTTTACGCGTGGTTCCGCGTGGTGACGGATTAAGAATACAAATTGTCACCACCCCAATTCATCCCGTGGGTGTCGTAAGAGCCGACTAAGGGAGCAAACTAAGCAGGACAACAGCACTGCAAAGAGAAGGAAAACTTGAAACAAACCCTATACCAACCCGTCTGGCCAGCGTGGTATAGTAGGCCAAAACCTCCTTTCCAAGGAGAGGCCTATGTCCAGCAGTGGACTAGTATAGGCTGTTGATGATGATGATGATGAAGTATGTTTATCAGCAGTCTGGTTACCATAGCACAGGCTCTGCCTAGTTTGGGATCATGTCGTGTGTGAGATGTGTGAGACATATAAAAAAAAAGTTTTGCGAGTGTAAAATGCATGCTGTCACGCACACTAGTACATACTTGGCTAATAAACTTGGCTCGTTTGTTTTAGTTGTGTGAAGATATGTTTAAGATAAGTTCCAATATCGTGTTCATCATCATCTTTCTGAGCTATTCCTACTAGTATTAAGAGTCTGCTCAAACTAATCTGGAACTGAACGGGAACGGGAAGTGAAACGGGAGTAGGACTGCAGTAGTTAGAAGAGGAAAAGGTCTGTATTGTGATTATAGACGCCACTAGGACATGAGCTGGCCAAAAGTCTCAATAAAATACTTAAATATCTTTGGTTTTAAGACAATTCAATACGTACCTTTGTGCACCCAGTGGACTCATTAGTTTTTGATACTTTATCTTATCTTAATACGTGAAAAAAATTCTTTGCACCCATGTTTAAATAAATGTAGCGAAGGGAAGAAGTGCAGAAAGCTATAAATAATTAATCAAAATGTACCATAAAGTTAAAAATAATGTAAAAATGACTACAAAAAGTAATACGAAAATAGAAGAGAATCTCTTTTTCTCTATTTGTACGGTGTTTTACAGAATAGTATATAATAATAATAACCTCACACATCTCACACCCGGCCGTCTGATCCCAAACTAGACAGAGCCTGTGCTATGGTATCCAGACTACTGATAAACATACTTATATATTTCTAAATACATACATATTATAGATAAATTACAAACAGACACAGAATAAATCATGGTGCTCATCATACAATTATTTATCCTGAGTGGGAATCGAACCCACGACCTCCGGATTAGCAGTCAGGTTCACTAACCACTAGACCAACATGTCAAATATAAATTTGTATGTCTTAAATTTCTTAAGACTGTTTTAAATTTCTTTTATAATATTACAGCTACAAGTCTTGTTCGCTAATTGTTATAATATTAGAAGGTTGAACTTTCCTTTTCCTGAGAGTTTGAATTACAAATATGCCCTCTAAACCTCTTACTAACCCTCCCCAACCCAGCTGTATAAACAACTAGCTTTTACCCGCTTTTCCGCCCGCGTGTATATCGTTAAACCCAGTAAAAAGTAGTTTATTACGTTCAGGGATAATATACCTCAGGAAAGGTTTAGAACTCTCCCGGAGCGCCAGGCCCGGCAACAGGTCACGTACTGGAGTCGACTCAGGCGCCGGAGGTCGCAGAATAACCTCCGTCCTCCATAAGCGCAGGCCTGTGGGTGGTAGGTGAGGCCACCTGTCACCCTAGCCGTAGCATGCCGGGGTGGTTGCGAGACGCGCTGTGGAGCGCGCGCGCTCTTTCGGGAGCACATAGGGGTTTCCACACAGGAGGAGGTCATTTACACGCCGTAGATGGCCCGAGGTACGTCGGGGTAACAGGGATTTCCTTCTTAGGGTACACATAGTTTCCCGGCAACTGGGACCCTAGACGGCGTGGGGTTTTTGGTCGGTTCGAGTCCAACATAACCACCGATAGGTGGTATCCGAGGTGATTCCGCACAGAAAAAAAAAGAATATACCTTTAACAGTGAAAGAATTTTCAAAATCGGGTCAGTAGTACCGGAGATTATCTACACCGAACATACAAACTCAAAAACTTTAGCTTGTCTACGTACCCGTTTGACCTCCAAGGTTGGACCTCATCTACAAATATGTCCCTTTCTACCTTCTTGTACCGTTTGGGTCTTGTAATTTGAATTTTGCCTATACTTTATCGCCCATTAGACCTTCTAAAAAGCAACATGTTCCATTGGACCCCATTCATACAAATAGAAAGTTGACTATGAAATAATGAAAGGTGTGTGTTTGTCCATAAACGTGATGTACTTATTACCTTTTACTATTGGGCAGATTTAATTATTTACAAGCTATTGAAAACTATCAATTAATTTGACGAAGCAACTGGACCGAACACTTACGCAATTAAAACGACTGTCAGATGTTTTTCACTAGCCGTTTGTTTTTTATTTTCTCGCTATAAAACTCATTCGCGCAGATTTGCACAATCTGGTTTTTATTCATTACGTAGCTTGCATTTTTATTTCATCATTTTATTGTTTATATTTCGTTACTTTTAATGTAAAAAGTTAAACTACAGGTTTTTTTAATCGGTTCATTGCCAATGCACGTACATTATTGGACATGTTTACCAATATTGTAGTGAATAATTAGCCGTTTTAAGCAACTATTTGATCGTGACCGTAGACTACTTTTACGGGTTTTACGACTTTCGGTAATTAATTAATATTGTAAAATGTAAAGTAAAAGTTAGGTTCACTGGACTGTTGGTTTAGTGGTTAGTAACCCAGAGTAAACCAGAGGTCTTGGGTTCGATTCCCACCCACGACACATAATTGTGTGGTGGACATTATCCTTTTCTTTGTCTGGGTGTAATTTATCTATAATACATACGTATTCAGAAACATATAAGTATGTTAATCAGCAGTCTGGTTACCATAGTACAGGCTCTGCCTAGTTTGAGGTCAGATTGTGTGTGAGATGTTTGAAGTATTGTTAAAAAAAGGCTATTTTCCTAAATATTAACAGATCTTATAAACGTAAAAATAGAGTTAGTTCAGAATACAGTTTAGTTTCAGAATACATTTTGCCTGGTGGACAATAAGTTAACTTTAAACAGAAAAAAAAATCCGACTTCAATAACACATTATGAATAGTAATAAGCTATATTCTTCATCCCTTAATTTTTTACTATAGGAGTGGCTTTTTTCTTCACTTAAAATGGAACTAAATGGGCAGCATACCCTTTAAAAAAAAACAATTTCATTTCCATAAGTGACGGAGTTCTGAGCTGACAATCATAACAAACACATAGTTGAGACGAGAACCTACTCCATTTAAAATGCTCAGACATTGATTGCACATTGCCTGGGGACACTGAAAGCTCAGAAAGCAAAATGAACGAGGTAATTCTCATTGAGGAAAAAATACTGTGTCCGGGAAATAGAAAAGTGATTTTTATACGAGCGAATAATTGATATGTGACTGAGCTGAACATCATGACTTCCAGAATCTTTAATTAAAGAGTACGATGAAAAGTTCAATTTATAGGAATATATCCTGTGTCGCGGGGGACTATACAAACATACATGAAACGGACACAAAGAACACCCAGACTCAGAACAACAATTTGTGGATGACATTAAGTGTCGTCCCATGTAGGGTTTGAACCCACAACACTCGGCGTAGTAGGAAACGGCGTGGCGACCCCTTAAACCACTACGCCATCCGTGCAGTTCGTCGATATCTCAGTCATGGATAAAAATACAAATACGATTAACCTGTTAAAAAGAATTTTGTAACAAAAGATAGTAGTATATTAAATTTTGTAGATATAGTAGGCCAAAACATCCTTTCTAAGGAGAGGCCTATGTCCAGCAGTGGACTGTTAAAGGCTGTTGACAATGAACAAAAGATAGTTACAACTTATTAAACTGTTTTAAGCGTTTGGTAAATAGAGAAAAGTGTAATAAATGAGGTGAACAAACTGTAATTAAAAAATAATGATGAAATTTCTAGAAATTAGGATATTTTGGTCTTCTTTTTGTCATCTGAAGGCTGAAGGTTTAGGCCCAGTAAGAGAGACAGGTTTTAATAATATTGACACTCAACAGTCATACTGTAGAATTTACAACAAACGAAAGAAACTGAAATTATTTAAATAAATTAGGTAATTGAATTCCACGTATGGAATGTGTGAAATATCAAAGAAAGTCTGAATAATTTTAAAATATTTGGACATACCTGGTGCATAGCTTGCTGAGCAGCTTGAGCTGCAGATTGTGCAGATCTCTTAGCTTGCTGCAGCTGCATCTCTTCACCTTGCAGACCGACCTTAGCATCCCTCACTTGCTGCTCCAACCCTGACAAGATGACCTGTTTACCAGCCAACGCTGCCTGAGCGGTTGCACTGGCTTGAGCAGCTGACTGGGCAAGCGTGTTCTTGGCTACATAAGCAGCTTGGTATCCTGCTGCTGCTTGGTTTCCTAACGCAGTCTTTGCTTGGTTAGCTGATCCTACAGCAATGGTTCTAAGGCCTGAGCCTTGAGAGAAGCCCTTCTTGCCACCGTTTCCACCACCGTTTGCAGCCGCTTTAACGTCTTGTATGTAAGCGTCGTAATGGCTGGCTGATTCTTGGGGTTCTTGAGCCTGTTGGGCGTTGGCCTGGGCTGGATGGTGGTCGTAATCGTATTCGTATTCTTGGGGTACTGGAGCAGCGGCAGCAAAGGATAGCACGCCTGAAATAAGAGTAAAAGTTAGTTGATGTACGTTAGTTTACTTCCAAATTGAGACACATTTTTTTGCATCCAGCCATAAATGCCTCAGAAACACTTCCATTTGAAAATAAGGTTGTTTGAATTTTAAATCCACATCTTCACGCCTTTAATCCCCTAAGGGGTAGACAGAGGCATATTGGTAGTGGCAGTGGTAGCGTATGCGACTGCTGTGCTGAAGATTCCCGGTTCGGACCAAATGTTTGTTTGATCTGCAAATATTTGATTCGGTGTTTGGGTGTTTTCTATGTATAATGTGTATGTCTTACTAAAAAAAATAATTAAAGTATTCTATTAGTCAATCTTACTTTAATAGTACAAGCTCTGCTTAGTTTGAAACTAGATAGTGTTGTGTGTCAGATGTCCGAAAATATTATTATTATTATTTCGTCGACTACATTGTCAGTCCCACTTATGTAATAGAAGGTAAGCTATTGTCGTCCATAAAGCGCATATGTTTCTAAATACAAACATATTATAGATAACTAGCTGACCCGGCAAACGTTGTATTGCAAAACAAAAAAAAAATTAGGGATGGGTCACCCTTACCATTTAGGGGTATGAAAAATAGATGTTGGCCGATTCTCAGACCTACCCGATGTGCACACAAAATTTCATGAGAATCGGTCAAGCCATTTCGGAGGAGTACGGGAACGAACATTGTGACACGAGAATTTTATATATAAGATTACATTTCATCTTTCATCAATCATTCATTTTTTCATTAAAAAAAAAAAAAGGTCTATATTACAGATAAATAACATCCAGACACGGAACAAATGGTCGTACTCATCCCACAATGTTTGTCCTGGGTGGGACTCGAACCCACGACCTCTGACTTAATAGTAAGGACCGCTAACCACTACACAACAGGCCTGCCCAAATAGTGTATCGAAATTTTAATACAGAAGAGTACAAATCGAAGGATATTGTATGCCAGCTTCCGCCCGCGTGGGTTTCGTTATCCGTAATCCTTTTTTCGCCCGGTTTATACCTCAACCTCTTCAACAATAATCGTTATATTTCAGTCAGTTTGTATAAAACCACCATGAATTATACACCTAAACCTTCAAAAATCCGTGCGGTAGTTTTTGAGTTTATCGCGTTCGTACAGACAGACAGACGCGGCCGGGGATTATGAAATGATACACGCTTTATATTAGCTTCACTTGTATGTTTGTTTGTTTGTTTGTAACCAACTCCTTTGGGCGTGATTTTGACTGACTTTAAACGGTCAGAATTCGTTCAAACTTTGTAGATATATCGAGGACCGATGACAATACACTAATATAAAAAATAAAATAAAAAAGAATTAGTTTAAAAAAACTAAAAAACACGCTTTTTATAGAAAACCTAACTAAAAAATAAAAAATAAATTTTAATAAATTTGAAAAAAAAACGTTGGGTGCCTATTGTCAATAGTAAAAAGCACCCCACGTTTTTTTTTTATATTTATTAAAATTTATTTGCAATTTTTTCTTTTGATATGAACGGATAACATTGTTTCAATTTTGACAGTAAATCAATACAGTAATAAAATCGACATAACATTTACACTCGCACGAGCTAATTGGAACCGACCGTGCGTGAAGGAAAACTGTTTTTCATAGTATTGCGTGAGGAAGCATCTTTATTTCCTTAATAAACTAATATGGCAAACAATTTCTTGGTTATATAAATCTAGTTGTAATTAAATACTGTAATACTTTGCTATTACGAGGTATATTAGCTTAAGTTTGCAGTTGACTGGATGTTATAATTAAATCTAATAGTTCGTAATGAATATAATATTAGTTCATAATCATCATTATACTTTGATGATGTTGATAGATACATAATGATGATTTATTTATGATATAAATTTAATATATTTATATATCTTTATTGGACGGTAAACTGTGCCGAAATGCTACACAATAGACTAGAAAAAAAAACTATTTTCTACTTTACTACTAAGGTAACAACAACAACAACATCAACAGCCTTTAATAGTCCATTGCTGGACACAGGCCTCTCCTTAGAAAGGAGGTTTTGGCCTACTATACCACGCTCGTAAGGTTACAGACAAATAATATCTAGTTAAAAATAATCTATGAACTCTTTCTTTCTTCTAAGGCGTTCGCGTTATTGTTGCCAAAATTTTGGCTTAGTTCAAACGCTTGTCAGAAAGAAAACGGTGAAAATTTGTCTATCAAGTTCAGTGTATTATTCAATAACTACGGGTTCATTTAGAAGCATTGAAAAAACTCTGACAAACAGCAACAAAAAGAAAGATCTTTTAAGAGTTTCCTTTTTTTTAAAGACAGCTGCGCACCAGGAATATATCCTGTGTCTTTAAAGACTTTAAACACACATAAAAAAGAGAGAGAAGAGTAGCACGTCTGTCAAAGATCCGTTAAAAAAGTCAATGATTGTGTCTCGCTTAGTCTGTAAGAGAATAGTTGTACGAGGCAAAACGAGAACTGCTGGTACTAGTATTTTATTTTATTTTTTTATACCCAAAGGCACCATAAAGTTATAACTTTCATACCTAATTGCTGCTTTTTGTGATTGTGCCTAACTTGAAGAATAGAGAAAAAATATTTCAGGTAAATTCTAATATGCGTCTGTTCGTTTGCTGTTCTTTAAAGCTGTAAAATACCTGCTTCTGAGACGAGTTAAACAAAACATACGGCAATTAGCACCCTTTACTTTAATTCAAATTACAAATTTGCAGATTGCTAGAATAATTTAATTTGACAGAAAGTCATTTTTTAAGGTAAAATTAACTTAAGTATTAATGGTAAATATTTTAAAACAGTAAAGTAAAGTTTGACACTAAAAACGACCAAAAATCTTCGAGAATCGATTTCCGAGATAGATATACTATCCACGTACAGGTATGTACAAAAACCCTCATATGGCAAGTCTGACTGACACGGTTTTGGTATATACTGAGAGCTATAAATCCAGAAGAGAGTAAGGGGGAAGAGAAATTCTATTCTCATGCAAGGCCAACTTATTGCTGTCTTCCGGGAAACTTCGTGCTGCTAGTACAAACTACCAAAAAAAAAGACTTAATTTCTAAGCCAGAGGTTGTGGATACGATTCCCATCCAGGACAAATGATTGTGTAATGAGCATGATCATTTGTTCTTCATTTGGGTGTAGTATTGTAGTATTTTTTAGTAAAAAATATATATTAATAAGTATGTTTATCAGCATTGCAGAGGCTCTGTCTAGTCTAGGATGAAAAGGCCGTGTGTGAGATGTGGCAAGTTATTATTATTATTTAAATAAAATAATAAAACGTTTATTTCTCTTCCACAAAGGTTCGTTAACATTAAAACTTAAAAAAGTATGTGGTCTTAAAATCCTTATATTTATAATAAAATAGATTAATGTTTACCACTGCATTTATTAATCTCTCAAATAAAAATGATTTTAAATAAATAGCATTACTGTCAATTTCAATATCTTTTTTGGAGAAGTAGTCGTTTGTTCTGGCGTAATGTAATTACATGTAATTACAAACACCAATACAATACCCATTTATACTAATGGCATGTTTTGACAGAGCAGGGTTCATTCAGGGAGCAATATTCATTTTTGAATTTGTTTTTATGAAATTTACTGACTTACTAAAAATATATTTTAAAACTCTCCATAGAGCACAACTCATCACTTTTTGTCTATTTATTATTTTAAAAATGTTTTTTGGTTATGCTTGATTAACAAATCTCAACACTTTAATTCTCTTGTTTGTACTAAATGCACTGTAATTTTGAACAATATATATATATCGTATATATTTCAAGTATAAGATCCAAATAGCCGTATGTTTTAATTTAATTTAAGAAAAAAATAGTTGTCTTAGAAACATCAATGTCTTAGAAGCAGCACATAACTGTTCATAACTTTTAAACTATTTAAATACACATTAACTAGTAAAAATTAGAAACCAGATTTTCTTTTTTTTAATTTTCTTTTTTTTTTTTTGTAGTCATGTAAAAAGGTGAGTTATTAGGACAGTAAATGAGAAATAAATTAGGATAGTGTTACACAGGTGCTTAATAAGTTAAAATACAAATTAAGTTTGTTTACACTTACCCATACATAAAAATACTGCGGAATAACCCTTCATTTTCGATACAGTCGGACTGAAAAACACCATTTATGATTTTTTAAATTAAATATCAATGAACACTAAATATTTTCAAAAACAAAATATGCAAAAAGAAGCAATATTTAATGAATTGAATAAGCAATAAATCACAAATTATTAAATCACTCGTAAAGCAAAAAATAAATAAATATGAAGCACAATGAACACTTGAATCTATGTGTCTACCTTCCAATACTTTCACAAAAGATTAATTTATTTCGGTTTAGGCTGGGGGTAAGGAGAACCCCTCGCTCTACGTTCTGTGAGGCAATGTATTGACGGACAATCTCTACTTGTATTTATAGTGAACGCTATGCCGAGCGAAAGAACCGCTGGCCTAAGAATACATGTATAGAGCTGTTGATCCGAAAGTAAAAAAAATATTTGTTTTCAGGACCTGTTGATGACCCTAAGTTAGTGGTCTTTCTAATTACGGGTAGGACTAACGGACAGTTTCGATCAGTCCTAATCCCTTTTTTCACCTTAGACTTACGGTAACTATAAAGCATGTCCTGTCTGTTTCCTTTACTCAAATTTACTTGTTTCCTTTCCTATCTGAAAATGATTTATATTCCTAGGCGATGGCTCATAAAAGAAACCGATTAAAGCCCTCTACAATATTGCATTTTACGCTCACCCCAACTTTAGAAAACTTTAGAAAAGGGCGGCAATATGATTATGTTATGTTGTTGATGTTGTTTTTATAAACTGTCACTATTGAGCTTAAAGATCATAGTCGACATCCGTGGTTTAATGTGGATAAGTAGATATCATGAAACTTGGATTTTTTTAGAGACCTATCAGAGAAGAAGAAGAGAACATCTTGAATTGTTGAAATTAGTTTAGATTGATTTATGAGACTGAGGTAAATAGCATAAACAGTCAATTACGTAATCTTTCTCGTAGTTTAATACACAGATGTAAACAGATGGTAATATTTTGACCCATATGTGTATAAAAAATCACAATTAATATGCGTGTAGCTTCTCGCATCCTTGAAATGGCAATATACCAAATTTATTCTAATTGAGCACTAATGGTACTACTTGGCACTGCTATAAACTAGAAATACACAACGGATAACCCACTATTAGGTAGCTATCTATATTAATAGTAAATTATTTAGTCTTCTTGAAATTAAATTGTATATGAGCACACATTTTTAAAGTATGATTTGCTTTTTTTTCACTTTTGCCCGGGATGTAAAATTTAAGTATAATCGGTTGAGGATGACTGCTTAAAAATTTAGCTTCAACATTTGACTATAACAAACACACACGTAAAAAAAATTCAAATTAAACAAAAGACAGTTAAATAATAAACAGAGACCGCGTTAGATGTTTAAAAGATCGCTGCAATAAAGTAAGTATGATGGTATTAACATCTGTGATTAAAGATTCTTTATTCTCAATAAAAAACAAAGTCACTTACTTGAGAACAATAATAACTTAAAGTATTATACAGGTTCGTTCGTCATTTCACTCAATAAATAAATAAATAACATCATTGTGGGTAGGTACTAATTTAATGTATTCATTTACCCGAGGTCAAGTTATGTGAATGATGTACGTACATATTGGGCTAATCGAGTTTTGAATACATTAAATGAGTTTACATTTTTAATGTACGATGGTAGTTTATTGTATAGTTGTGCCCCTTCGTATGTCAGCATTTTTTTACCATAATTTGTTCTAGGTTTAGGTAAAACCAAAAAACTAGCTCGGCGAGTACTACGTTGGGTTGTATGTTTTATTTTAGTGAATGATATACTAGATTGAATTTTTTTGTTTAGAATTTTTTGGGTAAAAATGCACGTGTTATATGTAAATAATTGTTTTAAGTTCATAATTTTGGTTTCGTTATAAATTTTGTATGTTGGTGAAAGATGTGGATAATTAAAAATCAATTTCACGAGCCTGTTTTGCATGATTTGTAATTCACCTAATTTAGTCTTAGCTGCATTACCCCAGATTTCTATTAGGTATTGTAAGTGTGGTTTAACTAAAGCATTATATATATTATGGCGTAATGTGCTAGGAATGCATTTAACTATATTTCGAAGTGATCCGTGTAGGGACGAAAGTTTCGTTTGTATATGATCCAAGTGAACATTCCACGATAGCAGACTGTCAATTCTTAAGCCAAGGTATTTTTCACACGATTTTTGTTGTAGGGGTTCATTGTTTATTAGTAATGGTGTATGTGTAAGAATAGTTTTATTTTTTGCTTTAAAGATAATGTAACACGTTTTTGAGATATTAATAGTTAATAGGTTATATTGGAACCATGAGTACAATATGTTCAAATCAGCTTGAGCTTGGGAGATTATCGTATGAATAGAGGATCCAAAGTAAAACAAACAAGTGTCGTCGGCGTAGAGCGTAAGGTGGCCGTGTAGTTTTAGTTCTTGAATATTATTTATGTAGATTAAAAAGAGCAAGGGCCCTAAAATAGATCCTTGCGGAACCCCACAAGTAACTGGCAGTGCGTCACTTTGATGTATATTGTCTAATTTAACTATTTGGGATCTATTTTCTAAATATGACTGTAAAATTTTAAAGGCATTCCCAGTAATATTCAACAATTCAATATTCAAATTCATATTCAAACATCTCTAGGGTATATCCACCGTTACACTTTGTGCTTGTAATCTCGGGTGGAGAAAAATTATATCATTGTGTACAAAAGTATGCGCGTGACTTATGTTTGGTCTATATTTCTCTCTCTATCTCTTTCTATCAACTACATTTCAAAGAGATAGGACTCCTAGGACCCGGAGATCTCCTGTTTGAATGCTGAACTACCAGATGTGAGTGCCAAAAAAACTGTAATAGTAATAACTTCACACATCTCATGTATAGCTGTCAGATTCCAAACTAGGCAAAGCCTGTGCTATGGTAACCAGACTGCTGATAAACATACTTATAAATTTCGAAGTACATACATATTATAGATGAATTACACCCATTATCACATTATGATACAAAACAAATGATTGATGCACGATCGTTATGGAGGATTGGCTCGAGAGGCGTCACGGGACCCTGTCATACCGACTGACGCAGGTGATCACTGGGAAAGGATGTTTCGGGGATCACCTGTGTCTGATCCGCAAAGAGCCAACGCCTGAGTGCCACCACTGCGATGGCCAGACCGTGGACACGGCTCTCCACACGCTGGCAGAGTGCCCGGCGTGGGTTGAGCAGAGGCGAGACCTCGTGGCGGCCATCGGAGTGGGAGTTCTCTCGCTCGATAGCCTGATTGCGGCTATCGTGCGGAGCGAGAGTGCGTGGAACTCTGCCGTCTCCTTCTGCGAGCAAGTTATGCTCGCGAAGGAGACGGCGGAGCGGGACCGGGAGAGGTTTAGGACTCTCCCGCCCGCCAGGCCCGGGAACGGGCCAGGTACCGCAGGCGACTCAGACGCCGGAGGTCGCAGAACGACCTCCGTCCTCCATAAGCGCAGGCCTGGGGGTGACAGGTGAGGCCATCTGTCACCCTAGCAGAAGCAGGCCGGGGTGGCGGCGCGTTGCGAAGCGCGCTCGCTTCCAGGGAGCACCGGGAACATGGGGTTCCCACACGGGGGGGGTCGTCTACTCGTCTGTAGATGACCCGAGGTATGTCGGGGTACAAGGGACTTCCTTTCTAGGGTATACCTGGTTCCCCGGCTATTAGTACCCGAGACGGCGTGCGGTTTTAGTCGGTTCGAGTCCGACATGCCACCGACAGGTGGTATCCGAGGTGATTTCCGCACGGAAAAAAAAAAAAAAAAAGATGGGAATCGATCCCACGACCTCAGGCTTAGCAGTCAGGGTCACTAACCGCTACACTAACAGGCCGGTCAAAGTCAAACTGTGTTAAGTACATAGGTTCAATTCCAATTCTTGCTAACCTAAAGAAGCATAGTCTGGTCTCACGCGCTAAAAATATTTCTGTCCATATATCTATCAATCTCCCTTTGGGACTCTGGCGTCTCTACCCACTGGTAAAATCATCTTTAATGGTTATATCCTAACAGCATCATCATCTATTCATCTGTGGAACGGGTAATCGTCTGCGGTATTTCCGGACCGATACGACCTTCAAACCTTCAAGAAAAAAGAAAAAGGCCGGCAACGCGTTTGTGACTCCTGCGTTGCAGATGTTCATGGGTGGCGATGGTCACTTTCCATCACCCGTCTGCTCGACTGCCCCGTCTACTACCCCTTTTTTTTCCGTGCGGAAATACCCTCGGATACCACCTATCGGTGGCATGTCTGACTCGAACCGACTAAAACCGCACGCCGTCTCGGGTACTAATAGCCGGAGAACCAGGTATACCCTAGAAAGGAAGTCCCTGGTGCCTCCGTCTACTACCCCTACTATCTAAGTCAGTTATCTGCTGTAGCTTACCTCTATAAAAATCATTAGAAATAATTTTACTAAAGACAGGTAAAAGGTGCAGAGATAATAAACTTAATTCTTCATTCCTTAATTTTCACCCTAAGAGGAGGAATTTGTTTAAATTTCATTGGGGCCATTTGGTCCCAAAGACACCACTTGGGAAGTACCACAGTACCCTTTCAAATTCAAAAATGATTATTCCAAATCAGTTCAATGATGGAGTTCTCTAATAATCTATTTACTCTTATCTCTAATAATATATCTGAGGTAATAAACAATTAGTATTTATGTACAAAGAGAAGGAAAACTTGAAACAAACCCTAGACCAACCCGTCTGGCTAGCGTGGTATAGTGCGCCAAAACCTCTTTTCTAAGGAGAGGGCTGTGACCAGCAGTGAACTATTCAAGGCTGTTGATGATGTATGTACATGCAAAATTACAGGTTTCTAGCACTAATAGTAATAAGTGAGGACAGATGGACGGACATGATGAGACTATAAAGATTTCGTTTCTGCCATTTTGGATACGGAACGCTATAAAAAACATATAGCTAAATTGAGAAGCTCCGCCTTCTTTAAATCGGTTAAGAAGTAGTGGAG